ACCACCTTTTAACCGGCTTTATAAATGCTGTTATAGAGACTCACCAGCTTCACACTCCATTACTTGATCTTGGCTCTGTAAAGGAAACAAATGTATTGTAAGTTTGTTCAGCTGATTGATGACATATGTACACAAAGCGCTTACAAAGGCATTTATGATACCTTAACTTTATCCTGTATTATATAACATTGCAGCTTTATTGGTTAATGTTTTACTGCTTCATGTGATAGACCAACACAACGTAGTGACATAACTGTGAAGAGAAAAGTAAATTAAATTCAGTTTATCTCTATAGCGCCAATTCACAACGCATGTCATCTCAAGGCACTTTCCAGTTCACCAGATCATCCAGTCGGATTGATTCAAGGTTTTCTATCTAAGGAAAACCAGTTGATTGCATCGACTGATTGACTCTTCAGCAATCCCTCACACTAAGCATTCTTCTAGCGACAGTGGAGAGGAAAAACTCCCTTTTAACAGGAAGAAACCTCCAGCAGAAGTAGATAACACAGTGTTTTTTAAGTGTAATGTGCACATTTTTTTTTAGCTCTTCCCTTAAATCTAAACCTTATATAATTACTTTAATCTGAATTTAGTGATTTTTTATTCTACTGCACCAATCAGGTGGAGGCTAGCTTTCAGAAGTGATTTCAAAGTTTTGCCAAATATTTTCAGTTGAATTTAGAACCAGATTCTTTTGTTTTGATGCATGAATATGCTTTGATTAAAGCATTGCTTATTAGCTCTGAATGTGAGAAAGTTAATTTCCAAACGAGCCTCAAGTCTTTTGCAGCCTCTAAATCTTTATTCTGCATTTGCACGTTTTTTAATTCTATCCGTATAAGTATATCCACAGCACAGCTGCCATTATTAGGTGTCACTGTAGGGATGTTATGTTCAGAGTAATGAGGTTTTCCTTGACCACCACAAATACTGATTTGTGGGGTAGCCATCGGGTGCAAACAAGCATTAAACCACGAAACGAGCTGCAAAAACATGTATGATACGGAGTCCAAAAAATTCAAACACAAAAAACAAATGCAGCAGGAAAATGCTGCAAAAATAAATAAAAAAGCAATGACTAAAAATAAGAGCAAAATTCTACAATCAATAAAACAAATGCAAAAGAAAAATAATAACCAAGTCGGACCAAACCCTCAGTACTAACAGCAAGTTAAGCTTTAATGCAGGATTTAAAATAGAAAGTTAAAAGAAGAAATAATTTTTTGTATCTTTCCTTTTATTGTCAAACACAAAGTCTTTCAGTTTTGCAGAATAACAGTAGTTGTGTACACTACTTTTCAATTAAGATAACTTTAAACTATTCTAAACTTTAAAGCGATACACTCTATACATTGCTAATGTGGTAAATGACTATTCTAGCTGCAAATGTCTGGTTTTTGGTGCAATATAATGTGTTTGCTCATTAGCTCAGAAGGCTAATTGATGATTAGAAAACCCTTGTGCAATCATGTTCACACACCTGAAAACAGTTTAGCTCGTTACAGAAGCTACAAAAC